TCCATTCATTTGTTGATGGGCACTTGGGCTGTTTCTTTTTGCTATTATAAACAATGTCATGCTGACTATGTGTGTGCATCTATCTGTATTCCAGTTTTTGTTTCCATGGGATATCTACCTAGGACTGATGGCTGTGCACCTCTTATCCTCCAAGTCTCAGTGTAAATGGTTCTCGGTCGATGGCTTTATTTCGAAAGCTCTTCCCCATCTTCCTCTGTGCATCCTTTTTGTGCTTTTTTTCACTTTCCCTGCCATGTGGATCACCTTAGGCGATCTGCAGAGAGGGCAAGGGCTATGTCTGTTTTATTCAGCACTGCATACCCAGCATCTGACTTATAGTTGCCATTGAGTCAGCCCCTCTCTCATAGTAACCCCCTATGTTGTTGTTATGTGTTGTCAAGGTGCCAGCATCTCTTAGCAACCCTATGTATGACAGCTCTGAATCTTGCTCTATCCTATGCCAACCTTATTGTCTCTAACACATCTACCACCACTACTCCGGTCACTGAGTCAATCCATCTCATCTTGGGTCTTCCTCTCCTGTGCTGTCCCTACATCCTCCCAAGCATGATGTCCCTAAGGACTGGTCCTTCCTTGCAGCTTTCCCAACGTATGTCAGATGGAGCTTCAGAATCCTTGCCTCCAAAGAGCAGCCTGGTTTTACCCTCTCTAGGATGAACTTGTTTGTTTTCTAGAAGATCATGGTATGTTCAATACTCTCATCCAGCACCACAGCTCAAAGGCATCAATTCTCCTTCTATCATCCCTAGTCATTGTCTAGCTTCATGATGCATAGCAAGTAATTACAAAGACTATGACATGGATCAGGCACACCTTAGTCTCTAGACTGACATCGTTGCTCTTCAGTACTCTGAAGATGTCCCTGACTGCAGACTTTCCTAATGTAATTCATCCTTTGATTTCCTGGCTGATGGTGCCAAGACTGTTGGTTGTGGAACCAAGCAAACTAAAGCTGTTAACAATCTCAATCTCTTCACCATCTATCATTTTGCTGCCAAACAGCCTAGTGTTGAGAATCTTTGTTTTCTTCTTTTTTTGTTTTGAACTCTTAAAAAAATTTTATTGATCCTTTACCATACAAAATTTATTCAAATTACACCCATTTGCAGTGGTAAAATCACAGCTAGAGAACAGGTCATCCTGTAACAAATCTATTTATGAAATCCATCATAAAGTGCCATTTAATATTTATTTTCTTGATGTTGCGCTTTAATCCACATTGAAGGCTGCAGTCCTTTACCTTCTGCAGCAAGTGCTTCAGGTCCCTCTCAGTTTCAGCAAGCAGAGTTGTGAACACAGTAAAATGATGCCTGGTTTGTGCCATTCTCATCATGGGAACATTACAACACACAAAGTTCTTCACAGGCTAATTTTTCTGGAAGCAGGTTGCCGGGACTTTCTTCCGGTTTACCCTGGTTTAGCAGCTCGGCTGCAATCTCTTCAGTGTCATGTGTCATTGTTCGTGGTCATCAACACTACTCCCGCTCTCATTGTCCACAAAGGTGCAGAGTAGCCCTTCTCCTTAGGGTTATCAAGCCTGTGACCTGTTAGAAACGGACTGTCAGGCTTGCGTTCTGAGGTGTCCATGGGTGGGTCTGAACGATCAACCTTCTGTTTCATAATCTAGAGCCTTAAGTATTTGTGCTACCTAACCGGGGAGCATTAGCTGCTAACTGAACCTGGGTCTCTGGCATGGGATTCTACCACAGAACCACCACTGCTCCCCCTAGTCCATCCACAGGCACGATGTAGTGCTGGATGACTATACGTAAGGCTTTGTTTTCTTTTCATCCTAGCAAACATTCAATGAGCAATTGTTGGGTGCCAGAGTAAGTGAGCCAAGGAAAGCGGCTGTGGGCCAAGGTACTGATCCTGGCAAGGAGCTGGGAGCCCTGTTAAGACATGGTGTCTGCTCCCAGAAAACCGTCCACAGTAACTGGTGCGTCAACACAAATGATTCCCAATGGGGGCTGACAGAGTCCCGGGAGGGAGAGGTCGGTATGTCGGCAGTGAGGTGGCGTTGGGGCAGAGGTCCTGGGAAGCCTGTGCTTTTCCTCCTACGGCACACCCTCTGATGTGAGGATGCTTCTCGCAAAGGTTAAACACACTTTTCCAGGGCTGTGATCTAAGTTCCTGGGGAGGTTGGAAAGGGCTGTGAAAGCTGCAAGTGTGAATCAGCTGCTGTGAAACACCAGGTCACAGTTCTATTTTTTTCTGAAACCACGTATGTGGAAAAAAAGAAAAAAAGGGTGGCTTTTATCTTTTAGTCAAAATTTAAAGCCAAAATAATCACAAAAGAACTTATTAAAAACCAATATAAAAATCAGATTTTTTTTCTTCTTTTGGTCAAGATGAAGAACAAAATGACAATGAAAATATGTAACAACAATAAAATATGATACTCTGAATGTCGCTGTAGTTGGGTCGGATGGCACCTGGATTTTAGATGATTTTTATAGTACATTCTAATGTAACCTTTTGGATGCTAATTGGTTAACTAGATAAGAAGATTTAAGTTAACATTTGTAAATCTGGAAGTACAGACACACCATTTCCTTTTGAAACTCATCTTTCTTAGCCAGATTTTAAAAAATTAGTCTTGGTCCGTCTATCAATAAATATGTATTAAATATGGGTAATCTCCTCCCGTAAAAACCTTCAGCTTTGAGCACACAGCTTTGATGGAGGGTTGCTCTGAGCCCAACTAACCCGATGGTGGTGACTGGTAAATCTCATGACCTAGGATCCCCGGTGGTGTAGGGCATGAAAGTGTTTGTAAAAAGACTGGAGCAGCATGAGGATCACTGGATTTGACCTGTTTGAACTCCACAAAGGGTAATGTCCCCATCAGCAACATACACAATACGAAACCAATAGCTGCCTTAGTCCTACCTAGTCTAACACTGTCCCTCCGTCCTTCAGCAAGCTTGGGCAAAGGCCCCTGGCTTTAGTCTGTGAGACAGCAGTCAGTCCTCTCTCATGTTGGCCTTTGATTCTCCACTGAGACTGCTACCGCTCGTGTAAGCCCCGGTCTGTTTGGTGCAAGAATTTCTGGCCTCAACAGACACACTCTGCACCCTCTTCCTAGTGAGATTCTCACCTTTGCTGTAAAACTTGTCCAATTTACACTAACAGGGATGGGGAAAAACAGCTCCCATAAGGATTAATTTATATACACCCTCTTTCAGGTTCCCACCCATCTTGTGAAAGTCAAAGCCAATGGCTAGGAAAGCCATTTCAAACCAGAAATCCAGGGCACAACAGTATTGTACTGGTCACCAAATGATCAGCAGTTCAAATCCACCCACAGCTCGTCAGGAGTCAGAGGAAAGGCTCTTTTCTGGTAAAGATTTACATCTTTGGAACCTGATGGAGGTGGCCATGAGTAGGAATTGTCTTGACACCAGTTGGTTTCGGCCTCCCAAGGAGTCCTTGGGCGGTGCCGATGGTTAAGTGCTTAGCCAGGAGCTGAAAGGTTGCCGTTTGGAAGCTACCCAGAGACGTCTATGAGGGAAGGCCATGGGAGCCCCCTCTGGAAGGTCCTATGTCACATATCTGCTCTGCGCACACGGGGCCACCAAGAGCCAGCACTGACTTGATGGCGACTATCAACAACCTCATGACCTTGTAAGTCTCTTAAGACAATGTGCATTCATGATGTGTATTCAGAATTGCATCGGTTGTATACAGCATTTAAAAGGATTAAACATTTTAGAGGGTGACTCACTCATTCTCTCTCTAAAAGTTCCCTAGTGTGACTCCTGATTGCATTGTTGTTGTTGTTATGTGCCATCAAGTCGCTTGCAACTCATAGCGACCCTATGTACAACAGCCTAAACTCTGCTCTGTCCTGTGCCAATTGCACTGTCTCCGGTACACCCATCCCAATTATCCCAGTCACTGAATCAATCCACCTCATAGAGGGCCTTCCCCTCCTGTGCTGACCCTCCACCCTCCAAAGCATGATGTCCTTCTCCAAGGACCGGTCTCTCCTCACAGCATGTCCAAAGTATGTTAGACGGAGCCTCAGAATCCTTGCCTCCAAGGAGCCACCCAGTTTAATCCTTTCCAGGACGAATCTGTTTGTTTTTCTAGCA